CACACACACACACACACACACACACACACACTCACTCTCACACACAAACACACACACACACACACTCACTCACTCACTCTCACACACACACACACATACACACACACATCAGTCACACAGCTCCTAAACACAACTCATTTTTAAAAATAATATTTATATATTTACTAATTATATGTAATTTATCTATAATATTTAAGCAATATACATATTTATTGTGTAATTGTTAGTTGCCATTTTATTTTAATATTCAATATTGTTTAATAAATATTTATTTAAAAAAAGCAATAAAAAAAATGTAAAGTAATATAAAGTATGTTATATAATATATAGCGATATGTCGTTTAGTTAATATTAATACATTTTTTAATAATTTTAATTTTATAATTAAGTATTTAAGTAATATACAATAGTTTAATAATTAATTGTCATATTTCATATTTAATTGTAATTTTATAATTATAATATCAAGCATATAAGTAATATACAGTATGTTTAATATTGTCAATTTGTTAATATTTATTATTAAATTAAATTACATTTTATAATTATATATAATATAGTATTTAAGTAATACGCAGTATGTAACATACAGTGTATATATTATAAAGTAATATACAATGAAGATATATATATATATATATATATATATATCCGTATATGTAATGAAGTAATGTTTTAAATGTAATTGTGGTCAGATCCTGAATGCGGCGTATAACGTGGAGGTGACCTTCCACTCAGGCTCCTCCGTCACCAGGCTCTTCTGGGAGCAGATCAAGCAGGTAGGTTACCCAGAATGCCCTGCGCTGGCGTGTCTGCTGCGGCGGCTGACGCTCGTCTCTCCTCAGATCATCCACCGCATCACGTGGGTCAATCCTCCGTCCGTCTCGGCCGAGTGGAAGCGCAAGGTCGCGCAGGACGCCATCGAGAGCCTGAGCGCCGCCAAACTGGCCAAGAGCATCTGCTCTCAGTTCAGGACCAGACTCAACAGCTCCCACGAGGCCTTCGCCGCCTCGCTCCGACAGGTGATTCTGCAGCGCGTACTCCTTCTAGGTGCATTAGCAGACTCTGCACTTTAATCAGATCTTAAAGTGCTCACGCCATTGAGAAACACTTGAAAACCACAAGCCTCTGTTTTAATTTACCTAGTGTCATGCTATTATATTTTTCTTAATATATTTTTAAGTACTGTTTAAATATTTAATTTTAACAAAAATAAGAATTATTATTTTAATTATTTTAATATATAATTGTTATTATTATTGAATTTGTCTTTTGAGTTTATTAGTTTTAATTTACTTTAATATTTAAATTATTTTATATATTGAAATGTTAATATTTAACTTATTTTATCATTTACATTTTATATTAATATTTTATATATTGTATTATAAATATATATACACACACACACACACATTTATTTATTTGAAGAGTTCATTTGCAAAAACAGATAACTCCGTCTTTAACAATTTTCAAAAATCATGTTTTTTTCTTTTATTGTGCATTCCAATTAATCTGTATTTGGGTTATTTTGATTAAAAAATACTGCTAACACAATAAAACACAATAAAAACATGATAATGTAATAAAAAACATGATTTTTAAAATTTTTTTGCAAATAAACTCTTCTTTTATATATGTGTGTGTGTGTTTTAATATTTTATATCTCCAGTATGTTTCATGGATTTTTATTTTTATTACTTATGTATGAATAATTATATAATGCATACAACTATTGTTATATTTTCTTACATTTATATATTTTACTTATTTCATTATTTTATTATATACAATATTTCATTCATGTACAATATCTCCAATAATGCTTAATATTAAATGTTATTAAATTTTAGATTTTAAAATATATTATTTTACATTACATTATTTCATATTACGTAAATTTTTATTTAGTATTTTTTGTATTTTATTATTTACATGTATTATATTATGTATGTTTTTTGTGTTTTATTATAATATAAGTTATATTTAATATATTCATTATGTTTACTATTCAGTTAATGTTACATTTAATTTTTGATATTTTATTGTAATTTTTATATTTTTGTAAATGCTATTTTTCAGTTGTATATTAGTTTTGTCTGTTCTATTAAGAGTCATTGGTGTTGTTACTGTGATGAAAGTCCTGTAATGATGAGTGTGTGTGTGTGTCTCTGTCTCTGTCTCTGTGTGTGTGTGTGTGTGTCTCTGTGTGTGTGTGTGAGAGCCGATCACTGCGAGACATTCTGCTGCACGGTGAGACACACACACATGGATCACATGGTGTGTGTGTGTGTGTGTGTGTGTGTATGTGTGTGTGATGTCAGTCTGAGTCTGTGTGTGTGTGTGTGTGTCCTCAGGAAAGCCGAAGATGGGCCGTGAGCTGGGCCGTGGTCAGTACGGTGTGGTGTATCTGTGTGATAGCTGGGGTGGACGTCACCCGTGTGCCCTAAAGTCAGTCGTTCCTCCTGACGACAAGCACTGGAACGACCTCGCGCTGGAGTTCCACTACACACGGTAACGCCACTCCAGTGCAGTGTTTCTAAGTACATTTACTCTTTAAAAATAATGATAATAATACTTATTGTTATTATGTAATTATATTATTTTTATTTATTTATTTTTATTGAAAGAAAATAATAGTTCTTTGTTTTTTTATGTTTTTAATTTATTATTATTTAAATAATAATAATGATAGTGCTCATCATTTTTAATATAATTATTAATTGTAATTTTACTTCTAATTATCAGTTGTATTTTTAGTAATTAATAAGAACTAGTAATTGTTTTTTTATTCATTTAATTTTTATTCGATACAAATAACAGTAGCATTTGTTGGGGTGTTTTGTTTATTCATTAAAGTTCTCTGTGTCCATCAGGTCTCTGCCTAAACACGATCGTTTAGTGAATCTCCACGGGTCGGTTATCGATCACTCGTACAGCGGCGGCTCGAGTATCGCGGTTCTGCTGATCATGGAGCGATTACACAGAGACCTCTACACGGGACTGAAGGTAACATCACGACACCGGCTGTTTGTCTGTTCTTCTGTCTGTGGTTGTGATTGACTTGTCTGTCTCTCTCAGGCCGGTCTGTCTCTGAAGGAGCGTCTTCAGATCGCTCTGGACGTGGTGGAGGGGATCCGGTTCCTGCACAGTCAGGGTCTCCTACACCGCGACATCAAGCTGAAGAACGTTCTGGTGAGGAACTGCGTCCACCATCTGATTCTCTGTGACGAGATCCCATCATAACGCATCATAGTGCTTCATAATGCATCATAACACTTCATAATGCTTCATAATGCATCATAACACTTCATAATGCATTATAGTGCTTCATAGTTCTCCATAACGATCATAGTGCTTCATAATGTATCATAAGGCATCATAATGCTTCATAACACATCATAGTGCTTCATAACGCATCATAACACTACGTAAAGCATCATAGTGCTTCATAACCCATCATAATACAGAAAGCTTAATAGTGCTTCATAACGCATCATAACACTACGTAAAGCATCATAGTGCTTCATAACGCATCATAACAACACAGAAAGCATCATAGTGCTTAATAATGCATCATAACACTTCATAATGCATCATAGTGCTTCAGTTCTCCATAATGATCATAGTGCTTCATAATGTATCATAATGCATCATAGTGCTTCATAACACTACAAAAAGCATCATAGTGCTTCATAATGCATGATAACACTTCATAATGCATCTTACTGCTTCATAGTTCTCCATAACGATCATAGTGCTTCATAATGTATCATAATGCATCATAGTGCTTCATAACACTACAAAAAGCATCATAGTGCTTCATAATGCATGATAACACTTCATAATGCATCTTACTGCTTCATAGTTCTCCATAACGATCATAGTGCTTCATAATGTATCATAATGCATCATAGTGCTTCATAATGCTTCATAACACATAGTGCTTCATAACGCATCATAACACTACGTAAAGCATCATAGTGCTTCATAACGCATCATAGTGCTTCATAAAACATTATAACACATCGTGCTTCATAACGCTTTGTAGTGCATCATAGTGCTTCATAATGCATCATAACACTTCATAATGCATCATAGTGCTTCATAATGCATCATAGTGCTTCATAATGCATCGTAACACTTCATAATGCATCATAGTGCTTCATAATGCATCATAGTGCTTCATAATGCATCGTAACACTTCATAATGCATCATAGTGCTTCATAGTTCTCCATAACTCATCATAGTGCTTCATAATGCATCATAGTGCTTCATAACGCATGATAACACTACATAAAGCATCATAGTGCTTCATAACGCATCATAGTGCATCATAACACTGCATAAAGCATCATAGTGCTTCATAACACACCATAGTGCTTCATAACGCATCATAACACTTCATAATGCTTCATAACACATCATGGTGCTTCATAACGCTTTTTCACAAAGCATCATAACACTACGTAAAGCATCATGATGCTTCATAACGCATTAAAACATCTTGTAACACATCATAACACTTCCTAATGCATCATAGTGCTTCGTAACGCATCATAAGACTTTGTAACGCATCATAGTGCTTCATAATGCATCATAACTCTTTGTAACGCATCATAACCCTTCATAACAGTTTGACATCCTTTGTAACCCTTCATAATGCATCATAACACTTCATAGTGCTTTATAACGCATTATAATGTGTGTTTGTTTTCTTCTGTGCAGTTGGACAGACAGAACCGGGCGAAGATCACTGACCTGGGCTTCTGTAAACCCGAGGCCATGATATCCGGCAGTATCGTAGGGACGCCCATCCACATGGCACCGGAACTCTTCACAGGTCACTAACCGCTTAATGCTCGATTGATGATTGATTTTAGTTTTTAGTGTTCTATCTTTTATTTGTTTAGACATAACAGTATACGATTTTAACATCAGGTGATAAATTATGAGTTTTTAATTATTTTGAAATTTTAAAAATGTAGTGTCCAATTTTAATATCAGTTGATAAAAATGATTTTAAAATTTAAATATTAACTTGATGGCAATTTATTTAGAAAAAAATAGTATGCGATTTTAATACTGGACAGCAAAATGAACCATCTTTAAATTATTTTAGAATTGAAAATGAAAAATATTAATTTTTATGTTATGAAAATGAAGTTACTGTAGTTATTGTTTACGTTAGTTTCCGATTGTACGTGTGTTTGTTTATTTTGCGCAGGAAAGTACGATAACTCCGTCGACGTGTACGCGTTTGGGATCCTCTTCTGGTATCTCTGCTCCGGCTCCGTCAAACTCCCAGAAGCCTTTGAGAAATGCTCCAGTAAAGACCAGCTGTGGACCAACGTCAAGAAAGGTAACGAACCCCAGTCGGCGGATCGCGTCGACGCCGCGCTGTGAACTCTGGGTAAACTCTGTGTGTGTTTGCTGCTTTCAGGCTCGCGGCCGGAACGTTTGGCCACGTTTGACGAGGAGTGCTGGCAGCTGATGGAGGCCTGCTGGAACAGAGACCCTTCCCAGAGACCCCTGCTGGGCATCGTCCAGCCCAGCCTGCAAAGCATCATGGACCGCCTGTGCGACAATTCTGACCAAAAGAGCGGCAACCTGGAGGACTCGAACTGACATCATTTCCCTGCATGCTCCTCTTGAGACGCTAAAGGAAAGCAGCTCTCGTTTTGTGTGTAAAAAATGGACGAATGTTGCTTGTCTGCCTCTGAACAAACCTGATCACGCGTGTCATATTCAGCGCTGCTCGTCACGGATCCTCTAGAACAGAGTTTTACATGTAGTCGAGTTTGTGTTACAGATGAACCGCTGATTTTTAGATGGTGTTTAAACTGTTTACATTATCCTGAGATTACATTTTTTAATAAAATCATTTGGACCAATTCACTGCTGCACTGCGTTGATTTACTTCCTTGATTATTAAAGTGTATTAAATGTGATTTGCTAAAACATTCAGCAGAGCTGATGAGTTAAATATTATCAAAACAAAACATCATCCCACAGATTAAGGTGAGACTTGATTTTCTTGTTACAATGTAATTATTAAAGTACTGAGTAATATTTACACATATTTACTATAGGGTTATTTGCAGGGAATAATTCATTACCAATCATTCATAGCTGTTTAGTATAGTAAGTAAATGTAAAGTGTGTCACAGACTCTAAAATAAAGTTTTTGCTATAATGTTGGTTTTATTTAAAATTTCAGTCAGGCTAAAGTCTGTTTATTTTTAATAAGGTCTTATAATAACGCTTTTACTATTTAACATGTCAACAGCCTGTGTGCGATAATTTGAATTCAAACAGTCGTGATGCTGTTTGAAAATTTAAAAGAGAGTTAAAAGACTAGGTAATCGTCGTTTAATTAGTTAACAACTCTACCTAGCAGGCTGGTTTATGATTCATTAGCCCTGAGGTAGTCTCGACAAATCTTTCAGTGAAATTAGCCGTTTTAACGAAATATAATTCACATGCGAGGTTCATAATGACGTTTTTTTTTTTATTGTACGGGGTGTCTGATTTAATTGGACGACTTTTCCTAAAATATATAGGGGTTTTTACAATTATATAATGTTACTCGTTTCTTTTGAAAACTATGGTTAGTGTAGCAAAACCATGGTTAATTTGTGGCGACTGTGGTTTAACTACAATAACTTTTTTTTTAGTAGTAGCTAGTAGTAGTGAAACCATGGTTAATTTTCACCAGGGTTAAAATAAGTTTATGAGCGAATAACTCAAGCACTGCTTGTGTGTTTGTGGTGTTTTCAGGTGAATGGCGACTCCAGTAGATCCTCAGACGCCCGCAGCGTAAGTCCATCAGTATATCAACATTAAGATGAGTTTATCAATACAATCACACATTAAACGAACGTGTGTTCGCGCGCAGATCAGGACAGAAGAAGGGTCACGTGAGGTTTGTCGAAGTTTCACCTCGCGATGAAGATCAGAAGGTATTTATCGTCAGTGTTGGGAAGGTTACTTTGGAAATGTAACTGGTTACAGATTACAAGTTACCCTGTTTAAAATGTAATAAGTAGTGTAACTATTTCAATTACTTCACCAGTTACTTTTGATTACTTCACTAGTAATTTTCCATTACTACACTAGTCAACTTTTGAAGTGGATCAAAACCTTTCATCAAAAAGTTGGATCAAATCTTGAAAATGGGTTGTAAAACGTTCTAGTAAGATTGGGATATTTTCGATCCAAAAAAAAACCCCTGGATTATTCTGATCCCAGCAGAAGGGTGGATTTCAGGAACAAAAAATGTAATAAAACTTAAAAACTGGTCCAAAAAATACAACATTTGTAACGTGTAATATATCCACAAATCTACAAACAGCTGTCAATATCAAACTAAAACAATAATCCCCGTGAAGTCCTAAAATATATAGGTGTTTTTACAATTATATAACGTTACTCGTTTCTTTTGAAGATTTCATCAGCGCGCGTGCGCAGTGAGTGGAGCGCGAAAATAACGGACGATTTCTGAGGTGAGGTTTTAGACTTTTATAAATCAGTCAATATGACAACGACTTCTGTTGTTTTGACTTAAATATCCATAACAAGACTACTAATATTGAGATGTGACAAGAAAAAGAAAAAACAAAGCTAACGTTAGCGTGATCAGAATTGACTCGCGCGTCGATGTTGATATATCGTCTGAATTAGTGTTAAAACAAAACATAGCAGCTGAGTTTCATATTTCATATCTATCGCACTCTCTTTAGTTTATTTACTCTTCAAGTGAAACCTAAAGGTCGAAATTAATCTTTCTGCTCGGTGTTTGTCGAGGTAAAGTCTTCGCCGCCATTAATTTTTTTAACTAATTATATGTGAGATTATAAAGTATTAAACTTTGTTAATATTTCGATACTTTTGACTGTATTCTCAAAATATCATGGTTTTCAGCTACGACTTTATCCTTATAATCTTATTTATTTTATTTATTTATTACATGGCACTAAAACGCCAAGGGGTTTTGACATTTTAAACATTAAAATAACTTTATAATATTGTTAGAAATTAACAATCGGTCCCTATAGATTCTCTTTGCCACCTTGAAAACTTCTCAGTCCCTCAAAGTATATATACGGCCGGGAAGCAAGAAAACACACATTCAATGGTATTCTCAATACTTCAACTTTATTCATAGATACAAAGATATTATATAGGCATATGTCGAGGGGAGTTTCACCCTCTTAACCAATGAGGATAGGATGACATACACATATAGGATGTTTGACCAAGAACATGTGTTTTGTATAAAATGGCCACATGTACAGATTTTTTTTTAGTAGTAGCTAGTAGTAGTGAAACCATGGTTAATTTTCACCAGGGTTAAAATAAGTTTATGAGCGAATAACTCAAGCACTGCTTGTGTGTTTGTGGTGTTTTCAGGTGAATGGCGACTCCAGTAGATCCTCAGACGCCCGCAGCGTAAGTCCATCAGTATATCAACATTAAGATGAGTTTATCAATACAATCACACATTAAACGAACGTGTGTTCGCGCGCAGATCAGGACAGAAGAAGGGTCACGTGAGGTTTGTCGAAGTTTCACCTCGCGATGAAGATCAGAAGGTATTTATCGTCAGTGTTGGGAAGGTTACTTTGGAAATGTAACTGGTTACAGATTACAAGTTACCCTGTTTAAAATGTAATAAGTAGTGTAACTATTTCAATTACTTCACCAGTTACTTTTGATTACTTCACTAGTAATTTTCCATTACTACACTAGTCAACTTTTGAAGTGGATCAAAACCTTTCATCAAAAAGTTGGATCAAATCTTGAAAATGGGTTGTAAAACGTTCTAGTAAGATTGGGATATTTTCGATCCAAAAAAAAACCCCTGGATTATTCTGATCCCAGCAGAAGGGTGGATTTCAGGAACAAAAAATGTAATAAAACTTAAAAACTGGTCCAAAAAATACAACATTTGTAACGTGTAATATATCCACAAATCTACAAACAGCTGTCAATATCAAACTAAAACAATAATCCCCGTGAAGCCGTGGTTTACGGTGAATTTATAACAGCTAAGAGGCGTTGTTATGCCCTAAAACCCCTTAGCTGTTATAAATTCACTGTAAACCACGGCTTCACGGGGCTTCTTGCTTTTATATATCTAATTTAAATTTTTTTTGTTTGTTTTGTTTTTATCACTGATTGTAAACTACATCAGCACAATCATCAGAGACGGAGCAGTCAGAAGTAGTTATTTGTGTAAATGCAATGCATTTTTTCCCATCAGCATGTCCCTTGAGGGGCTCCGTAGAGCACTAGTAATCCAGATTTGGCTCACACACACACACACACACACACAACCATGAACCTGAAGGAAACAGTTCAAAGGTGGACAAAATCATGTCTTGCATCCTTCCCGAGTCTTCTCTCGCTCTCTCAATTTTGCTCTTCAAAAAAAATCTTTCCCAAACAAATTTTTTTCTCATCATTTTTTAATCAAAAATGTCTTTAAAAAAAAAACTTTCATCAAACTTTTTCACTCTTCAAAAACCTTTTCCCTCATTATAAAAAAACATTATAATATAAAATATTTTTTCCTTTCATCAAAAAAAACTTCTTGTCATCCCAAAAAAAAATCCTCATCAGAAATAGTTTTTCCTCTCTTAGCAACTTTTTTCTAACCACATTTTTTCTCATCGATTTTTAATCAAAAAAGTTCTCTCATCAAAAACTTGTTTCATCGTCAAACCCTTTTCCTCATCAAAAAACTTTAAATCCAAAAAATGTGTTCTTTTATCAAAAACTTGTCATCAAAAAAAAAAAATTATATATATTTATATAGATAACTTTTTTCCCGTATAAAGACTTTCTTTATTCAAAAACTTTTATATAATTCAGGTTGTTACATATGACAACAAATGCCATATTAAAGGTGTAATCTGATTTAGTCTTCTGATGTGCAAAAGCTTGTAAATGTCTCACAGAAGCATCAGGTTTCGTGCTATAGCGACACCTGGTGGCCGAGGGGCTAATGCATGCTAGCATTTCTGTGCTGTTGCTTCCAGGCAAAAAACAGTTTTGAAGAGAGAAAAAATGATCATTTTTAAAGAGAAAAAAAAAGTTTTTTGATAAAAAAGAAAAAAGTTTTTTGATGCGAGTAAAAAAAATTATGAGAAATTTATAGATAAAAAATGAGGATTTTGAGAGGGAAAAAAATGTAGATGTTTAAGAGATAAAAATGAAACGTTTTTTGATAAGCAGAAAAAATGATATTTGAAATGAAAATGAAATGAAATTTTGTAGGAAGACAAGTAGGCCTTTTGTGCCTACATTTTGTACGAGAATTTATTTTATTTTTTGAGAGAGAGAAAAAAAATTTTTTGGGATGAAAAAAAATGTTTTTACGAGAAAAGTTTGAGAGATAAAAGTTTTTTGATGAGAAAAAGAATACATTTTGTATTCTTCTCATACTTTTTTGTACTCGTACATTTTTTGTTCTCATCAAAAAACTTTTTTTGTTTTTTTATAATTTTATTAAAAAAATTTTTTTTTTTATCTCTTCTCATAATTATTTTTCCTCTCATCAAAAAACAATTTAAGAGATAAAAAATAAAAAGTTTATGAAAAGAGGGGAAAAAAAGTTTTTTGATGTGAGAATTTTTTTATTTATGAGAAGCTTAAGAGTATGGAGGACGAAACCTGCAAAAACAATAAATACACAAATAAATAAATAAATGTGTGTATAAATACACAAATTCTTGTTTAATGACATATAGAAATAAGGAAACGTCTGTGACTTTACAAACCACCCAACGGAATAGCCAGTGTTGTTTCCTGACGTCATTTTTTGTAACCCGATTGAGTCTCCAGCTAGAGACGACTGTAATATCAG